TAAATTTAACTTTCGAATTTTATAAATATAAAATTAATATAAACTACGTTATATAAAAAAAAATATTTTTATTAATTTTTTAATTAAAAAACATTACAATGATCATTAATTTTCTAAGTGAAAATATTAAAAGCCACTAATTTTTAGAAGTCATGACTTTAATATTAAAATATTAATTTATTATATAAAAAATGTATATATTTATTAACACGCATTCCCTGTGCTCTTTTTAAGTCTTTCCCTCCTCAAATTCGGTCAACAGCTTCTCTTTATCTTATTACTTGTCTTGTTGAAGTAATATTTTGTTAGTTCATTTTAAACGTTTCTTTAAAAAAAAAAATTATTAGTATATAAAATCCTATACAATAATATTAAAAATATTTGTACACAATATTTTTTTATGTGATAAATGTTTTCAAATAAAAATATTGTATGATAATGTTTTCAACATATAAATCAAATATTCATAATAATTGTTGAAATATATAATTTCTAAGAAAAAAAAATTAGAAACTATTGAAATAAGTTTCAATGGCTCAAAATAAAATGTTTTCTTTGTGATCTATCCTAGTTCATTTTTTTAGTCGATATTCTTCACTTACCCTGATAGTTCTAAGCTGAATATTCATTCAGTACGTTGCTTAATAAAATTATATTATATTTAAATTTTTAGTTTATGTGCAATGATATCTATTATTTATTTGATGATGAATAATTAATTTTAATATTCATGTATGGTAATCTAACAGTTACTGTAACATAAAAAAAAATGAGTTGAATTAGGTTATAGAAAAATAAATAATTTAAAGCGAGAAATTAAAAATATGAGCCACTAATAATCTTATAAACCTTAATGTTTTTAAACAAAAAACTGATTTGAATAATAAAATCAAAAGGAAAATAGAAGAAAGATGGAAAAGTCTAGAGGTTCAATTAATAATCTATTTCTATTATCTCTCCTCAAATTTTCTCACTTAAAATTTATCCAACGGGGACTTGAATTTTTTTTTTTAATTTATTGGTCGATAAGTGTTTGACTCATAATTCAAATGATTTTTCTTGTAAAAAAAAAAAACTTCTCAAGAAAGCTCTTAACCTCTTACGCAAATATGAGAAGATTTAAGAAAGAGTTATAAGTTCATTATTTAAAAGAGTTGATGTTCATTGAAAAATAATTAGGGTCTTCTAGAATTGACTTAAAAACAAGTTAAACACGTAAATTTCTTTACATTGTGGTAAATTCTTTTGTTCAATAACATACAGTGCTAGATATTTAAAGTCTAAATATTATACTAGTATTTACTCATCTTAAATTTTTATATTTTAGTATCAAATACTCTTAGTTGCCTGTAAAACTAGTGAAATTTTATTTATATGGAGTATTTACTAATTATGTTTACCCGTATATGTTGGCTAGAGATCAACCTATTAGACAGATAAAACGAATTCAAAAAGAATCTTAAATTTATTTTTTAAAAAGTAAATAAAAACATCATATATAAATTGAAAAAAATTAAGGAATAAACTTTCAACATCAAATTATTCTATTTATCTTTTATTGGACCTTCAAATAGTGCCATCAGCGAATAAGATTGATATCTTTTAATTATGAAAATAATATCCTATTACACTTCTCAATAAACAAAATTGGTATGTAACACAAGTTTATTATTTGTCATATTAGTAATATATTCTTTATAAGCTAATTGCACGAGAAAATGATGTTATTATTATATACTAGTCTTAATCCATTTGTCTAATATTTTTTATTAATAAATTTCGTTTATCATGAGTTACTAAATATGTTAGTTAATGATTTTTTTTTTCACTTTATTATTATATGATAAAACTTATCAAAAACTCTTGAAGAAAAGTTTAGATTATGATACATAGATTACAAAAGAATGCATCAAATTTTTTTAAAAAATTTAGATGGTATGATAAAAAATGAGACATTTATAAGTCCATTTGCACTATTATCACAATGAATATCCTCTTTTGATAAAAAAGTGAACTTATAGGTTCCGAATTTATTTTTGTTCATTCAATAAACTCATTCTCTAATAAGTACATATATTTTTTCTCTTTTATCGATTATACATCATATTATTCCAAACAAACAAACAATATATGAAATCAATTATACAAGTGAATGTTGTCAAGTTTTGGTTGTTTCGCTACGATTTGATACTATTGATCTAAAAACTTTTGTATTATATTAAAGTAGTTATTGGGTATAATCTCAAGTTTGTGAAAGTATTTGACTATTACATAGGATTTGTCATTTTTAAGTAATGAAACATGTATCACATGCAATTAATGATATTTAATATTTGTAGTAATGTGTCTAACAAGCTAATAAATATTATATGCATTGGGCATACTAGGTATTATAATGATTTAATAAATTATTAAACAATAAGTTATCAAATTTTCTTTACGTTGTTTGTGAAGATAAACAAATATTAAGTTAAAAAAAATAAGATTATAATAATGTTATAATAATAAAATTTCAACAACATTTATAATTTTGTAGTCAATGTCATTTTTATTAATTCAAACTTGAATGGTACAAATAAAATACCATTTTATCAATTTGCTTTTGATTTATGACAAGTTTAGGTTATCTTATTTTATGACCATATTGGATTCGAATTTTACGAAACCTATTTCTATCATCGTCAATCCCACGAGAGTTAAAAAAATAAATATATTTACTTAAAATTTTGATAAAAATATAATAAAAAATCTTAAACAATAATGCCTTCAATATTTTATTAAACTTCAAATTAAATGAGGATTAGAACAAATTTTTGTCTCGTCGACCAAGGAATGAGAAAGAAGGTCCTCGCTACACCCATCCATGTATTTGATTATTCGACTAATAAATAATTATTTTTAAATATTTTAATATTAATTTATTATTTAAAATTACCTTACAAGATTATCCTACTAAGTGTTTTAAAAATATTATGCATTAAAGTTTTGAAGAACTTTAATCTATTAATTTTAATATTATACAATTGTAGTGTTATCGTATTAAATAGTTTTAACGGATACAAGAAATAATTTAAATATTTAATTATATTTGATTTGTTTTGATCATGTTATTATATTTAATGATTCTTTTTATTTTAATATCAATTTATTTGGTAAATTAAAAAAATTAATATATTAATTGAATTTAATTAAAAATATATATCATAATCTGGACTAAGGATTTGTAATATGGTAATCATAAAAATTATAAATCATAAAAACTGGATTTTATAGATCCTTCAATTAAAACCAAATATTGACTCCTTAATCCCTAGTCTTAAAATTTTAATGTTCAAGATTTTAGAAATCTTTTAAAAAATCAAGCACCCAGGCGCAAGATAGCAAACCCCACTCCGGTACCACGTGTAACTTCCTAAACTGATACCCACAAGGTACGCACCCACGAGCCACGCTTATGACTTTACACGTGCTACACAAACTGTGTGCCTCCATCCGCACGTGCGATAAGCACGCCGTTCTTGCTCTTGCTCTTCCTCATTCTCATTGGCCTATATTCTCCGCAGCTTTAATTAATTAATTAATTAAAATAAAAAAAGAAAATATGGGGAAATATTGAAGGCAAGGGGAAAAAAAGGGCTTTAAATTTCAAAAACTGAAAGATAAAAATTCCAATTTGCAGACTCTAAAAAAAATGCTTCCATTTTTCTCTGGAAAATTTCGAATCAAAATCTGGGGCAGAGACGAGGAAACGCTCATTTCTTGTGTCTGTGGAGAGAGGAAAATCTAGAGAGAGAAGTTTTCCCCCTATTTCAGAGAGAGAAAGTGGAGAGAGAAAGAGAGGTAATGAACTTTATGCCTTTTGTATGAAATGGATTCTCATGCGACCAGATCATAGAGAGAGAAACCTAGAGAGAGAATTTTAACAATCGGAAACCTAGACGTACATATGAATATTGCGATGTGTGTGTGTATATATGTACTAAGTAGCAGATCCTATATGATATACAGTCGGTGCTTATCTGTTTGTTGTTTGTATCTGGAATAGGAGGAACTTCAATTGAAGCTGAATCTCTTTGTTTGCAAGGAGAAATTGGGAGAGAAAAAGAAACAAAGAAGGCGTTGTGCGATAGTGGCAGTCGGGAAGTTTAATGTTCGATTTCGATTGCGATCGATTGCATCCACAAAGGAGGCGGCGGCGAACTGGAAGAGGCGAACTGGAAGGAGCGTGGTAGAGCTGTAATAAAATTCGCCGAAGATGATTGTGCAACCAGAGGCATGTAATACTTCTTGATTTGGTTATTTGTTTTCGATTGTTTTTCTGACATTTTCTTGATTGGATTGTTTTCTTCTTCTGGTAATAGACACTGTTTTCTCCTTCTAAGTTTTCTCTCTTTTTTTTATTTAATTGATATGGATGGATTTTATGTTATTGTTGGTTGCTCTTAATTTGGTGTTTTATCTGTTCTTTGCTTATAGGAGTTAGGGTTTTAACTCTTCAAGTAATTTGCTTATATGTTACTGGCTCTGCTGTTGGGTTTATTTGCTTCAGTTGGATGACATTTCGTTTGGTGCTTTTTGTTACCCAAATTAACATTATTTTTTTGGTTGGATTTTTGTGTGAATGATCTTTCCCTCTTGTTTAATATTTAGGATTACGGAGATCGCGATTGATGTAGTGCTGATGTGCTTTTTAGATCACACCACTCTTGAGAGGGATTTACCAGATGCAAGATTCTATAGATGAGATGGATAATAATAATCAGAAGCATATGGTAAGATAACAGGGTAATTTACATTCTGTGTTTTCTTATCTCTGAGTCTTGAATGCTTGCATGTCTAATTTATATTTAGCACAACAATTTTTAGCTATATTTTTAGGTTATAAGAACCATAGTGTACTTGATTAATGGTCAGTCACTTTAGACTTATATGTTTATATGTTGTGAGCTTGATGCATTCTTTTCTTCCTTCAGTTCTTAATATATGTTCCCCAAGGTAATCTTTATGACTAAAACAGGAAAGCTTAGTCTGTAACGAAGAAGAGAGAGGAGTGAACTATGTATAAGGCAGAGGAGCGAATAATGTATAAGGAGGATGAATGTTGAAAAATAAGAGATGAGAAGGAAGATTTATTACATGAGATGTATTGAATTGATGTTACTATCCTAATTGCTAAGAGAATTACCTTTGGAGCTGACTGCTTCCGTAAGTTCTGATTCTTTGTTACTATCCAAATGAAAAGAGATTTCTTACATGTCATGCATATGTTAATTAAGTCCTTGTTGGGTTGGGAAATCAATAATTAAGATCTTTTTGAGTAACAAAAATAGAAGG